TGGGGAGCACTGCTGGAACTCTGCAGCAGCAGCCTTAGCCAGGGCAGCTCATCGCTGGACCCAGCGTGGTGGGTATCCTGCTCTCTGAGCCTCTCTGTCCTCACCTCCTCTCCTTTCCATTTGCAGTGGATAATGAGGAAGCTGCTCTTCTGCACGAAGAAGCCACAATGACCATTGAGGAGCTTCTCACACGTTATGGACAAAACTGCAGCAAGAACCTCAAAGCCAAGTCTGTAGCTGCAGCTGGGGATAACACTGCGGAGGGGACAGGCAAGCAGCATGATGGGGAGTCAAATATGAATGGAGAGGCTGACCCAGGGGAGCTTCCTGACCACAAGGAGCGGAAGAACGGGAAGCCAGATGAAGAAATCACGGGTATTTCCTCCACCTCAGACAAAGCCAGCGCTGGAGGCAACAGCCCTGCTCTGCAGAAGCCTGAACTAGGCAAAGGTGACGAGGCCGTCACCTCTTCTACTGGGGAGGCCGGGCCCTCCTGCTCCTCCACGGGAAAGCCCCAGCGCACAACCAAATCCAAATTTTTTGAGGACAGTGAGGATGAGTCAGATGAGGTTGAGGAAGAGGAGGAAGACAGTGAGGTAGGAAACAGCACTGGGACAGAATGGCCTTCTGGCTGGGCAGAATGCATTGCTTACGGTGGTACTTGAGAAGAGCCCCTGGCTCATCCTAGGTGTGTCCTAGGAGCAGGTGTTTCAGACTGATCCTTTGAGGCCATCCCATGGGAATGTTTGGGATTGTTGAGCTAACCCTGAAGGACACACACTCTCATCCTGCAGCGGCCATAGCCAACAGCCCTGGGTCCTGCTGCATGCACCATCCCTTCATCCACTGCTGTAGTGACACCAACTGCTCTGGTTGTAGCCATCAGGTGTGGGGGACATGTGCCAGGTCACCTCACACCTCTGGGGGAACTGACCATCAGTCCCCAGGATGGAGGGACCAGCAGGGGAGAGGGCACTGAGTGTCCTGTGTGAGTCCTGTGGTATCACTCCTTTCTTGTAGGAGTGCAGTGAGGATGAGGATGGTTACAGCAGCGAAGAAGCAGAGAATGAAGATGATGAAGATGACACTGAAGAATTAGAGGAGGATGAGGATGAAGAGGAGGAAATGTTGTTACCAGGCATGGAGGGGAAAGAGGAGGTACACCCTGTTCTTGTGTTCTGCAGCATAGTGTGGAGCATGGGGCACTTGGGAGACTCAGTAAGGGGTTGTTCCTGCTCAGGTGGGGATAGAACACCCTGCGTGCTCTCCTGGGGGTGAGAGAGCTGCCAACAGCCTGGGTTTGTGCAAAGGCTGAGGGATGGGCCTGGATCTGGGCAGAAGGCTGAGGTAGACGAGGCTGCTTCTGGGTATGGGGTATGTGGAAATGCTGTGGGGCTCGTGTGGAGGGAGAGCATGGGGCAGGAGCAGACGGGCTCCACTGGCACTGCCGCTCCAGGGCACAGCATCGCTCCTCGCCAGGTCAGGGCTGCGGCTCCTCAGCCCGTGCAGTGCAGGCAGGGGGGCCAGGAACCCAGAGGTCATGTAAAGGGGACATGGCTTCCAAGGTGGCAATTTCTCCCTTTGGGGAGATGGCCTGGCTTGCAGTGACAATCTGCTTGAGCTGGGCTGGGGCTGGAATCAGCATGTTAGAGCAGGGGATATGGCAGGACATGTGGAACACCAGGCAATCCTGACCCACTGAGCTGCATGAAGCTGAAATGGAGTTGTTGCCTGATCCTGCCCCTCAGCGAACACCTCCCTGGTGTTTCCCACTCCCTTAGGCTTTCTCCATCACTCTGTGTGTGCTCATGGGGTGAGATGCAGCACCCTGGGGTCTGGGACACAGCTGAGGCTGGCTCCCTTAGTGACCCGACGTGGAGCCATAGAGAAAGGAATCTCACCCAAATCCCGTGTCTCTTGCAGCCCGGCTCGGACAGCGGGACCACCGCGGTGGTGGCGCTGATCCGGGGCAAGCAGCTGATCGTGGCCAACGCCGGGGACTCGCGCTGCGTCGTGTCGGAGGGCGGCAAGGCCGTGGACATGTCGTACGACCACAAGCCAGAGGATGAGGTGGAGCTGGCCAGGATAAAGAACGCTGGCGGCAAGGTCACCATGGACGGGAGGGTGAACGGCGGCCTCAACCTCTCCAGGGCCATCGGTGAGCAGGAGGGGGGATGCTGGCAGGCCTGGCCTCAGACAGCTGTGCTGCCAGCACTGCCAGCCACCGAGGTTATGGAACAGTTTTTAACCGGATGAGTAGAGCCTGTTCTTTATTTGATGGGAGATTTCAGTCTAATTGGAAAAAATGGCCATGAAGCAGTTGGACACCAGTGGAAAGCAGCACCTAGCACCTCCCAGGCTGTTGTGCCAGTAGCTGGGTTATCAGAAACCAGCTCCTGTAAACTGTCCCAAAACCAGACTGCTGCCTTTGGAAACAGGACTCTTCCTGCTCTCTGTCTTTGAGGGACCTTGGTGTGTTGCTTCCTGGGGACCTGGCTTCATGGTAGTTTGAACCCACTTGGTCATCTGTACTTCTGCAGAAGGACCCAAACCATTGAAATCATTATCCTAGGGTAAAGAGATAAAAACATCTTTAGGATAGAGACAAGGAGTTTGTTTATCTAGGGAGACACTGACATTCCCACCTGCTATTTTGTGGTGGCCCTGGAAGTCCCTTTGTAGGCTCTGATTCCTGATAAACTGCTAGCTGGAGCTGAGGATCAGTTTTCTCAAGTGAGCTTTGAATCATAGAATGAACCCTGGAATGGTTTGAATGGGATGGAACTTAAAGATCATCTTGTTCCAACCCCCGCTGCCATGGGCAGTGACACCTTGCACTAGACTGGGTTGCTCCAAGTGCCATCCAGCCTGGCCCAGAACACTTCCAGGGCTGGGGCAGCCACAGCCTCTCCAGAGGTGACAGGTGCTGTGTGCTGTTGGCCTGGTATTGCCCCAGGAGGTGGGGAAGCAGCACTTGATTTGGGGTGAAGAGAGGCTGAGCTGGCCAAGGCCCCTCTTCCCTGGACTAGCCAGAGCTGACACTTGGAACCTCCGGTAGTTCTCTGCCTCATGGCCCACAGCTTGATCCCAGGCTGTGGGAGCACTGGCTGGATCCCACTGGGGCCTTGTTGTGGGGCAGTGCTGCTCCCTGTGCAGGGCAGGCAGCACTGCCCGTGCCCAGACATCCTCCTCCCCACCACAGGGGATCACTTCTACAAGCGGAACAAGAACCTCCCTCCAGAAGAGCAGATGATCTCTGCCTTGCCTGACATCAAAGTGCTGACAATAAATGATGACCACGACTTCATGGTCATTGCCTGTGATGGAATCTGGTGAGTGGTGAGGGAGCTGTTGTGCCTCTGGGGTATCGCTTCTCTGGTCTTTCTCTGGAGCTGGGCCTGGGGAAGGCCTGTTGGAGACTGGCATGTGTGCTCCCTTCACCTGCTCTTCTGACCTCTCTGCTCTGCAGGAATGTGATGAGCAGCCAGGAAGTGGTGGATTTCATCCAGTCCAAGATCACTCAAAAGGATGAGAACGGAGTCCTGCGGCCGCTCTCCTCCATCGTAGAAGAGGTAAAATCTGGAGTTCTGCTGTCCCTGCAGCAGCACAGCATTTGTGTCCCAGCTCAGGACCTGCCTCTGCCCTCCTGCTCCCTCACATGGGCTCATTCAGCACTCAGGGGGTCTGCAGCTCATGGGCTGCGATGGGCAGGAGCAGAAACACCTCTGCAATGAGACCCAGTTCCCTGGGCACCCAGGCCTGTGTCTGACCTCAGGGGTGCTGTCCAGCCGAAGGAGTTGCTGCCCACATTCAGAAACCTGGGGCTGCTGAGGCCATTTCTGTCCCTTCTCTGGTGGGAACAGCATTTAACTCATCCCACATAGCCCTGGCCTGGCAGCACCTGAGCCACTGTTAGGTGTTGGAATGGGCCCAGTGCCTTGGAGTGGTCCCAGTGTGTGTCTGCTCTCTGCTGACTTGCTCTTTCCCTCCCCAGCTGCTGGATCAGTGCTTGGCTCCAGACACCTCAGGAGACGGCACCGGCTGCGATAACATGACCTGCATCATCATCAGCTTCAAACCCCGTAACACACACCCACCTGCTGAGAGTGGGAAGCGGAAACTGGGGGAGGTGGCGGCACCAGTGGAGGAGAACGGCGGGGACAGCACCAAGAAGGCCAAGCTGGAGTAGCGGGGCCTGCCCAGGGACTGGGCTGTGCTCACCAGACTCTCGTTTCTTACCCATGCTGAACTCAAGACTCCAAGTCTTGTCCTTTTTTTAGCCTTAGTAGAGGCCTTGTTTGTCCGTGTCCTGGTCGGGGGGTGGGGGGCGGGTCTGGCTAGCGAGGGCATGTCGCACTGTTCATCCGTAACCATTCCAAAGAGGGAGCGAGGACGGAGCTGCGCGGGAGCGCCACAGCGCAGAGCCCGTGGTGAGGAGGAGGAGGAGGATGTCCCCCCATTGTCTCCATGTGGTTGTTGCCATTTCTGTGCCTGTGAATTTCTGTTCGGAGGGAAGAACTTTTTCACTGTTGAGGTTTTTTTAATCTGCACCCGATTATTTAAGGCCCTTTCTGTTTTTATTTGTGAAACAATCTGGTGGTGGTGCTGAGGCCACACCGTGTTCGGTTGTACACTTTCAATCAATACTTTTTTCAAACTAAAAGACTGGAAAACACAGCTATGCTCCTGGTCCTTGGTTCTTTCCTGGAAGGGGACATGAGGAAGGTAGGGTGGGAAGGACATTTTTCCCTGGGGTCTTGGAGCACTGCAGGGCTTTGGCCTGTGGCTCCCAGTTCCCCCAGGATGGCTCTGCTGAGGATACTCAGAGCAGATACGAGTCTCTGGAGACAGTCTGTGTCTGCTGAAGGAATGGAGGCACCAGTCACTCTCCTGAGCTCACCTGCCCTCAGCAGGCAGCACCCATCGAGCTGCACCTTCTGACAGGGAGCAGCAAGGGGCACCTCCCTGATGCACAGCTTGTACAAGGTGTGTCGATACCTGTGGCTGCTCCTGCAGGAGTGAAGTCCCTGGGCTGTAAAACACTGATGGAAAGGTGGGCTCTCCCTGTGCAGCAGAAAGAGCCACAGACTTGGCAAACTGCTGGAAAAGAAGAGCATCTGTGGTGAGCTGTTATTTCTTCTTTTCTTTTTCTTTTACATGCAACTGGCCCCTTGCTGTCTGTTTCCTACACTTGCTCTTCCCCCCAGTCCCTCCTTCCTGCACAGCCCAGAGCAGTCCCACCTGCCCTGGGATCCCACAGGGAGCCACAAGCCCTGTGGGCAGCAGCCTGTTGCTGCTGGGGAGTCTCCCACTGCTCCCCTGGTCCTCAGCGGCTCTGACCATCCTAAGGGCCCTCCCTGCACAGCTCCTGGGATCCTATGCTCCTCCATGTGAGCTCCCCCATGTGAGCTGCCATGACAGAATCTGCCAGGCAGTCATAGCGGAACTCTAGAGTCTGTTCCCTGAGCAGCTGCAGCAGGTTAATGCAAACACCTGCAACTCTAGGGGCCTTTGATGTGGCACAGGACCCACCACAGAGGGCAAGATTAGATGGGATGTTGGGAAGAAATTGTTCCCTGTGAGGATGGTGAGGCCATTGGCAGTTTGCCCAGAGAAGCTGTGGCTGCCCCATCCCTGGAAGTGTCCAAGGCCAGGTTGGACAGGGCTTGGAGAAACCTGGGATAGTGGAAGGTGTCACTGCCCATGGCAGGAGGGCAGAGATGAGCTTTAAGGTCCCTTCCAACCCAAACCCTTCTGTCATTCTGTGACTGCCCAACTTTGAGCAGTAAAATGTCCAGAAGCAGCTTTTTCCCCCCAGGGTGCTGCAGTGGAGTCAGAGTGGCCAGAGGCAGGACCCCACTGCCTGAGACTGTGCACCCCATGTGGCCCAGGGTCCCCACCCACAGCCTGTGGCATTACCCCACTGTGCCACAGGAGACAGATGAACTCGGAAAGCAGCTTTATTTCCCAGTGGTGCCTCTGGGGAGGGGGCGGTTGGGGCTGGCGCAGCAGTGCAGGATGTGGTCCACATCCACCCAGGACCCAGCTCTTGGGGCTGGGAGTGCCCACAGAGGGGGACTGGCTCTGCCACAGGAGTGCATCGGGCTTGTGTGTGGACCAAGGCTCTTCCCCTCAGCCCTCTCACTCCACGGGGACACCCACAGAACTACCCCTGTCACTGGTGGCTCCCAGGGAGTCCCCAGAGAGACTCTGCCCAGACAGGGCGCTGCTCAGGCTCTGCTGCCGGGCAGGACGCGGCACCGCTTCGACCGACACCTCCACCTCGATGGTGACGCCTTCCCTGTGGACAGACACCAGCCTGAGGGCAGCAGCCCGGAGGGGGACATCACCTGTCCCTGTGCGGCACGGCGGGCGTGAGGGCGGCTGTTCCCAAGGGATGTGTCAGCCCCCAGCACGGCCACCCTGCTCTGCTCACCTGTCGGAGGTGTCCTGGCCCTCGCTCAGCATGCTCCCTGCCAGTGCCACCGTGCTGGCCGACTGGCTGTCCCATGCCAGCCCAGGGCGCTGGCTGCGGCTGCTGCTGGGGAGGGAGGCCGTGGGGTCTGGGGCTCCGTCCTCACCTGGCCTGGGGCTGGGGTTTGGGCTGGGCAGCACCGACCACAGCTCATTCACTGCAGAAGGAAGACAGCGCTGAGCACCCTGTTCCCAAGGACTGCTCCCTGCCAGAGCAGGGAGGGCACAGGCCAGGGCCAGGCATGGGACTCACGCTTGGCCAGGTTCTCCAGCTCTACCACACCAATGTCTCCAGGTGTGCGGCCACCCCCACAGCCCCAGCGGCTCCGGCACAGCGACAGCACCACGGTCCCGTACACGTAGGTGAGCATCAGGGGCACACCAACACCTGTGGGTGGACAGGTAGTCACTGCCCCTGGTACCAGACATCCCCTGAGGCCACTCCCCAGCCCCACTGCCCAGCGCAGGGCAGTGCCCTTGGCCCCAGCCTGCACTCACCCACGGTGATGGCTGTTATGATGGGGGACACAAAGAGAGAGAGAAGGACGCTGCTGGTGACAGAGAGGCACTGCTGGCACCCTGACAGGCTGCTCCGTCGGCTCTGGCCCAGCACCTGCAGAAGAAGACAGGTGAAGGGCTCTACAAAGACCTCACGGCCTTTTCCCAGCCTGGCAGAGCTCCAGTCACAACCACAGCCACCTGGACCTCCTCCCTCTCCTCAGGGACAGGCAGCCACGACTGCCCTGCCACCACAGCTCAGGTGTCCTTGCAACCCTCCCCCAGGACCCCAGACCTCTTTTCCATTTCACCCACCCCGAACCCCACTCCCCAGGCTGAGCACACCCACACTGGCAGAGAGTGCTGGGGGGAAGCGGAGGGTCCTGGCAAGGAGGGGTTGTGGCCAGTCAGGGGTGGCACAGGGACATGCTGAGGGGGGTCAGGGGTGGCACAGGGATGTGCTGTGGGCACTCAGGGGTGGCACAGGGACATGCTGAGGGCAGTCAGAGATGTGCTATGGGCAGCAGGGAGCACTGCAGGTCTGTCCTGGCCAGGGGCCATGGGCTGCCAGGCTCAGCAGGGAGCAGGGCCACAGGGACTCCTAGACCTCCTGCCAGTACCTTCCTACCCATGTAGATGGGGATCCCAATGGTAATGACAGGGACAGCAACGCCCGCGACGAGGGAGATGACCATGGGTGCACCCAGCACCATGCCCAGCTGCCACAGGATCCTCCGGGTCCGCGACCACCGCCTCTTCCCCCAGAAAGTACAGCCAGAGGGGCTGTGGGGACAGAGCAGGGCTGGGCCAAGGCAGAGACCAGCACAGCCCAACCCTGTGCTGGGGGACACCCATGGGCCCATCGGGGAGCAGATAGCCAGGTTCCCCCAACCCTGAGCTCCAGCTGCCTCCTGGGAATGCCAACAGCTGGCCCCAGCCCTGCCAGACCGAGTGGCACAGACCACGCTGCTCCCCCCAGCCAGCCCCAAACCTGGGGCCAGGCCTGGCTGCCCCCATCCCGGCCCCCAAGCTCCTGTCAGGGCCCCCACCTGGGCCAGCCCCCATGGCCCCACGCTGACCTCAGGAAGTGCACGTCGGAGATCTCCCGCAGGCAGAGCCAGCAGAAGAGGCACCCGCAGACCGTGCAGTTCATGCGGTTGCAGCTCCCGTCGTTGATCTTCATGATGAAGGCGCTGCAGCGCGGACAGAGCTTGATGTCCTCAGCCTCAGCTGGGGGGGAGATGAGACAGGATGGGGGAGCAGGATGGGACACACCCTGTCCCAGGCTCCCCAAGTCCCACGAGTGCCAGAGTGCCACGCCCCATCCCGACTGGCACAAGGGCTACAAGCCTGAGGCAGCCAGCAGCCCCGGCTCCAGCAGACCCACAGGCAGGAGCCACGAGGCACCCCACTGTGCCACACCCCGTCCCTGGCTGCTCCCATCCTGTGCCAGTCGCCTCACCGTGGGTGAGTCCTCAGGTTGGGCCGGCTGTGCTGTGGGGGTGGCC